CCACAAGGATTAAATCTAGGGCCCCTACTGTTCAATATGTTCATTAATAACAGGGTGTCCGAAGAATAATCTTTCTCTCAACATATCCAAATGTAATGGAATGTCTTACTCAGTGAAAGCCAATTCTACAAAATTATCTCAGTTATTATTGAAAAACTGATTATTTCTGAAAACTTTGCCACCCTGTATCTCAAAAGTTAAGGCGTTTAGGACATACGTCCATAGATTGTTTTTTTTCTTAAAATGGGTCTAAGAATTACCTCCTTAAATATCAGCATGTGTTTGAGGAACACCCTGTATATGACTGATGAAGGTAACGTCAAAATACCTAGCTGTGCCTAGCTGAACTATGTATATACCCACATATCCCCACCAGTGTCGATTTATTCAGCAAACAGAAAAAATCATATGCGGAGTATTATCCTACAAACTAATGAATGGAAGAAAATATTCGACAATCTGTTTTCGTTAGTTTCAGCTGGAAACTACAATCTCTATGTCAAAACAAGATTAGATTTTTCCACAATGATATTTATTATATGTACCACTGTCATAACACCAAATAAATCTGGCAAAAACTGCTTCATAAACTATTAATACAATTTCGGAAATATTTTAATCTCTCTAAACGTCAGCAAACTGAATGATAAACAGCCCGACCCCTAACCTCAATTATAACGTAATCATATAGAACCGGTAGTATCTTCCTCTATCCTTCGGAATATACACATTGAAAACTATCAACTATTGCTCTTTCGCTTTCCCAATACAATTTCGAATGGGGTCATTGACAATAGTGATAAAGAATTAGAAGTGTGGAAAGAATATTGGGAAAATCGCAGAGAATAAGCAGACATTTAGTGATACGGAGTGGCGATTGGAATAAATCCCAATGTGTTGTCGAGACACATTTTTGGTGACTATTTAATTATTTGGGTGAGTTTTGTGAAAGCATATCAGAGTATATATTGAAATTTTTGTATGTTCCAAAACAAGTTATACACGTGGTGGGTGAATTAGTTGTTGTTACGTACAACCAGGCCTCAAGTTTGACAACTTAGAGAAATGATATTGAACTAGACTAGGGCCAGAATAGTCGGAAATCTCATGTAGAACCATTCATGAGTTGTTAATCCTATTGCTAATTCCTTTTCATTCCAGAACTCCCTTTGAGAACTGCTCAATATATCATTGAGCTATTCTTCTGGTTGAACCAAGTGTTCAATGAAGCTGTCCACGATACTGTGATATGTATCGAGAAGAAGAAAATAAACTCACACACAAAAGTTATAAGAGAAACTGTTTCAGAATGAAAGATGGAAATTGGAAATTCAATTCGTGAGAAATGCTTCATTTGACTTTTGAGTTTATTGAAAACCTCATGATAAAACTTATTTCCTGAAAGTGTACGTACTCGAGTCTGCATTACAAATCTCATTTTTATGGTTTTAAAAGTACATGCTTTTGACAAAATCGCAAAGAAATCAACACAACCACGATTTTATTTCGTGAAATATTGAGAGATTATCCTCAAGTAATGTGTAACCGAACTTTTCAGATATCACCGAACATGCCACCACATTGCAGAATGTTCGTGCTGTTCCAAAATATTGTAAAATGTTTTGAAATATTCTGGAACAATGTCTAATTTTCTGGATAGTTCTAGAACTTTCTAGAGGGTGAAACTAAATCTTCAAAAGCATGCCTTTGAAGTTGAAATGTTAACATTCTTCACGGTTAGAGAGCTACCACACTAAACCATTGATCGTCCCACAATTTCGGAATTTTCCCAAACATTTCAGATCGTTCTCTAACATTCCGCCTAGCCCATTATAAAAGTACCTTGATAGTTCGTACTGGAACCTCTGGCGTAAAATAAATAAATTGAACACACTTTCCGAACACCAGAACAAAATTACGGTCTCTCGATGCCCGTTTCGCTAACCATGTGAGCTTCCCAGAAGATCATCATGACAAAATTTCACTACTATGTTGTGTTTTTTATGCTAGTGGCCTAATTATTACATGTTAGTAGTGCCTGGCTAGATGGACCGCATATAAGCTTGTGTACATTGTCAATTGCACAAATCAATTTAATGCAGCGACACTCGAAGTCACAGCATTCTGGGAATGACTACTGACTTTATACCTCCAACTGTCGACTACGAACTACTCTATCGACGACTGGACCCTCCGGGAGAAGAAAATATTAAGAGCAGATAGTTGTTGGTTCACAGATGGATCAAAAACACCTTCCGGTTGTGGTGCAGGTGTTTTCAGTCGCAGACCCAGGACAGAGATATCAACCTGCCTAGGAACCTATGCGACTGTATTTCAAGCAAAAATTTACGCTATTGAATCGTGTACGGAGAGATTGGAAGAATCCATCCTCATACACAAGTCAATAAAAATATTCTCAGACGACAATCAAGCGGCGTTGGAAATTCTTGGCTCCTACCGAGCAAACTCTAAATTGGTAGCAAATTGCCAAAAAGACTCTCCTCTATAGGAAGACTCAACAGATTGTCTCTGGTCTGAATTCCTGACCATACTGGCCTGGAAGGCAATGAGACTGCGGACTCCCTTGCAAAGAGGGTGCTGCAAGCAGTTTCATCATACCAGAACCTGTCGTTGGCTTCGCTTTAGGCTTTGTCAAATATTGAACACCAAGATGGTAATAAGATTTATGGTTCTGGCAGAATCTTCCAGAATTGGCTCACTCCAAGCGTTTATTTACCCTTCGAAGCTTGATACCAAACAGTTGTTGGACTACAGTAGAGATGAACTACGATGTCTAACAGGCCTTCTTTCAAGTCACTGTCATTTGAATCATCATATGCACACTTGGACTGTCGGAAAACAGTGTGTGTCGCCTCTGTTTGGAAAATGATGGAACTGCAGAGCACATACTTTGTGCTCGTCCCGCTGGCGACCGAATCGGGTTTGTAGAGTTTGGCAGAGCCATACTCTTACCATCTGACCTGAAAGACCACTCACCATATAAACTAATCAGCTTCGTTAAGAAGCTGGGTTCATTTGGTCGGGTGTGAATAGGTGTGAGCTACAATAAACTCTTGCGGGTTGCGGTAAAGGGTCGAATAGACCCCCTCACTTCAAACCTGACCTAACCTAACTAGAACCTGTTTATATTCATCTGTTTTTTATTTGAAAGTAGTACGTCTAAGATCAAACAAAGGTCTGTTCGAAATAGGATCTTTGCCGCTCTTCATAGAACTCATTTCACACTTTCCGATTTACAAGCTCTCGCAGGCATCCAGAAACCTGTTGTCGTGTACCAATCTCAACATTGAATTGAACATTTGAACATTTCTCACTTATTCTGTGGCTCATTTATTCTGAGCTCATTAATCTGCTTGCTCTTTGCCGTAATCCCTTCGGTATTCCTTTATTAGAGCCACATTCATCTCTTTGTGGTTTCGATGTAAACTTATAATGCTTCTCTAAAAAAGAATGGAAGATATGCTTTCCCAAATGTTTTTGTTCATACGGGTTCTAGGGCTCATGATCTCATCAATATCAGACATTGCATAATAATTCCGAAATGTTTTTACGAAGTAGATTAAATTAGATTGTTGGGGAGCTAGCCCATGTCTTGATTCACTGCAACCTTTTCAGATCTATTGTGATGCTCCTTGGTTGTTAAAGTTCATTTTCTAGCTTGATCTCTTTGTTGAAACTCCATAGCCTTGACACTGACCCCTTCATATAGCTGGCAGCCTCTGTCTTTCCCACATCTTGCATGTCTCAGCGTTGCTATCGCTTCGCACAAAGCACATGCAGTGCCGTTTCTTTCTCTTCTTGACAGCACCTGCATTGGCTTTCTTCTATCAGACCCATGTTGCTCATATGTTTCATGAGTCGGCTATGCCCTTTCACTAGACTCACCAGTACCCTCACAACTTTACGCTTGTGGTTCAGCAGATCTTTCGTGAATCTGGGTGATGGTTTCTTCATGAACTCTTTCGCGTGCCTCATTCCTGAGAGTTTATTCCACCAATCTATCGATTCGGCTTGCAATCATGAGTTCATGTATGTCATCATACATGCTTTCGCTACCCCGCAGAAGGGTTCTGGGCCGATCATAGCTTTGGATACGCCTTCACGGGCTAGAACATCGGCCTCCTCATTGCCCTTGTGACCCTCATTTTGGGTCACAAGGGCTGTGGAAAGGGCTGGTGGAAAGCTGTCTGAGCGCGAGTGCGCTCAGACAGCTTTCCACCAATCTTGAGAAGAGCTGAGCGCCTTAGTTGCCACCTGGCTGTCGGAGAAAATGACAATGTTTTGACAATGGTTTTATTTGGGACCTTCTGCCTGTTTATTTCCTCTATATAGTATTCGATAGCCGCTACTCCTGCCTGGAACACATTTGCATTATGTCTGAGGCTGAGTCACGAGGTAACTCCATCTCCAACCAGAAGTTATGGTTCACAAGCCTAATGAGTGTGTTTTACCAGTGTCTTTGCCTGAGATGATAACTGGAAAAAGCATGAAGTGATAATGAATTATGTGTAGTGATTGAGTGCGTATTTGTCTTTCCCACATGTGGTTGTAGAGGGAGTTTGGCCGAGCTGTGGAGCACCAACAGCTCGGCCAAACTCCGAGCCAAGCTCCGGGATTTCGGATCGTGAGGCGATAGCTTTCAATCTATTATTTTTCTTGATGTCAACGTTATCTTGACAGGTTTGTTAACCAAAGTTTTAAATTATGTTAGATCAGTTTTTATTATTCAGTTATTCGTTGGTTCAAGTAATTCTTAAATTTCTTCATTGAAATCGTCAACAACGACGTCATTACCTTTATCCGTATGTATCCACACCTTCAGCACTTTTGCTTATGGTTGACATGGGCGGTAAAGGATACTTCTATAATAGACTATGTTTGCAAAATCCCTACAACTTTTATGAGTATTATATGTATATCATGAATTGATGAATGTTTTGAGTTATAGAAAGAGACTAATATATTTCTCTTCATTTCAGACAAAAACAACAAAAAATGAAAAGTAGACGTCGCCAGTGTGGTCAAATCTGCCTCCTTCTCACGGGCATCTTCTTCATCGGCACTGGTGTTACCATCTTCATTTTTTTCGAAGCCTTATATGAGTTCCTCCTCAAAGAGGTCCTCAAGATAGCCCCGGACTCCATAGTGTTCAACAACTGGAGAACTAACGATCCACCCCTCATTATGGACATATATATTTTTAATTGGACAAACGCACATCAAGTGAAAAATCATTCGGTCAAGCCGGAATTTCAAGAAATCGGACCTTATAGGTTCAAGGAAGTGAAAGATAAAGTGAATATAACGTGGCATAATAATCACACGATAAGTTACATGCATGATCACAAATATTTTTTTGATGCGGAACACAGTGTTAGGAACTTAAGTGATGTGATAACTACCCTAAACGCTGTACCATTGGTGAGTAATTTGTGACTATTGATCTATCTTACTATGACTTGATAGGTAGATTTGAAATATCTCGAACAGAATTAACGGGAGTATTTGTTCTGGTTCTAGTTTGTGGAAGAAGCGTTCCCATTGAACTCCCCTACAAATTCATATCTATTCAGGATATTTTTGCCGTCTTCACATTAAACCAACTCAAAAATCTATGTTTTCTGTACCAGAGTCCCTTTCAAAGCATTCTTGAGGACAGATTTCTTCACTACAGATGAAACGATGGAAGAAGGCACTTCAAGAAAATACTCCTCCTGTGACAAGTACAAAAAAACAAAATATTCAATATTGAATATTGTATCACTGACAATTTCTTTGATGTCCATACCATTTGACAATTAACAACATTCACATGTTATTTATTGAAATGTTTCTGCGGTTTCAATTCTATACTTATGAATGCGAAATTTACTCACATGACACTCATTTTTTTCTGTTCTTTCGTACTGGAAGCCTAAATTTAGTATATAGATGCCTCTTAGGTCTCAAATATGAACTGAGACAGGAAAAAAGGCGCGTTTCTGAATCAAAATCATCTTTTCATCATTGTTTCTCCATTCCCTCAAATTTCCAGTGAGTGAAGTTATATTTAGTATCAGCATTGCACCCGTGCAAAGCCGGGGTGGTGGCTAGTTCTTCTATACTACAGAAAAAGTTTTTTCATGACTATTGAACAGTGGGCATTCTATTTTCCACAGTGAGTAAATTTTATATCGTATTTATAATATTTCACGTCAAATTATGAATGGTTCTGCTCATCATATTGTTCCACGTATCCTAAAATTCAATTTGCTAGATACTGGAAATGAAAAATGGAATATAAAGTATGTTTTTCTTAAATGAATAGGTTGTATTTCACTTTTACTGAGTTTCAAAAATGGAATCAATCCGTCATTGAAAGATCAGGTTATTTGAAGCAGTAGCCACGTCATTTCTGGTCTTATCGGAGGGACAAAGTGATGACGTAAGCGCATTCTTTCATCGTCTCAACTGCAGTTGTTGCACTTGAAGAAACCAGTCGTGTAGATCACCTAAAGACCGGTTTCGAGCCATTACTCCTCATCAGTGCAGGAAAAATCCGACCCAAAAAGCAGTGTGCTTGTGACCCGATTAATTTCAACAGGGCTGGACTGCATGTATGAAACCTTCTTTTTAGAGAAAGATTGTTACCTATCAACAGCTTCATCTTGTGGAAAACTAGGAATAATTTTAGATATCAAGCGATGCCTTGTTTGAAAGGTCACTGATTTTTTCCTACGCTACGTTGCAGTTTCACATCGTGTTTCATGTATTGGTTCGAATCTGCTATTTCCATTTTTTCACCCCAATCAGTTCTCCCTTCTACTATTATACATTGAAAAACATATTGGGAGATATGGTTCATTGAGTTTTCCTTGATATATTTTGATCACACTCATCCCAACAATCTTGTTCTCTGTACTAGCTTGTACACATCCTTCGTTTGATGTTTGTCATATTCTTCCAAATTGCTTGCCTTCTGTAACCTAGTACGTCGCTCAATATATTTTGATTTTAGGACGGTGATTTGTGAAACGTGCAGACAGGCGTTGTCATGAGGATGGATCGGAACTCTTTTGTTGACCACTGCCGGCTACTGCTGACACAATTTTCTGTACATTTCGTCGATGTCTTCACAATATGAATATTCTGTGATGGTTTGACCCGGTTGCAGAAAGTTATAGTGAATCATAGCAGCCGCTGGCAACCATACAGTCACCCTGTTTTTTGGTAGGCTTTTGCTTTTGGGAAGTGCCTGGGTGCCTCATAGATGTCCAACCACTATCCTGAACTTCTCCTGTTGTCCTAGATGATCCACTTTTCATCACACCTGACGATCTGATCCAGAAAAGGATAGTTTGGGTTGCGCAAAAGCAAAGCAGACCTCAAAACAAGCCATTTTTTTGTCGATCGATCGAATCGTGAGACATCACTTTTAGAGCTTTTGGTCCTTTCAAATATGTTTCAAATCATCAAAAACCACAGTTGTTCCACCATCCCACCATAGGAAGACTTAACAGATTGTCTCTGGTCTGGTTTCCTTGCCATACTGGTCTGGAAGGTAATGAGGCTGCAGACTCCCTTGCAAAAACCAGAACCTGCCATTGACATCGTTCAAGGCTTCGCCAAACGAAGATTGAACACCTGGACGGCAGAAAGATTTATGGACTTCTGGTAGAATCTTCCAGGATTGGCTTACTCCAAGACGTTTATTCGCCTTTCGAAGCTGGATACCAAACAAACTACAGTAGGGATGAACTACGATGTCTAACAGGCCTTCTTACAGATCACTGTTATTTGAATCATCATATGCAAAGACTTGGACTGTTGGTAGACAGTGTGTGTCGCCTCTATTTGGTGACACACACTGGCACATACTTTGTGCCTGCCCCACTGGGGACCTAATCAGGTTTTCAGAGTTCGGCAGACCCGCACTCTCACCATCTGACCTGAAAGATCACTCACCATACAAACTAATCGGCTTCGTTAAGATATTGGGTTTATTGGGTTTATTTTCGACCCTCCACCGCAACCTTACGGGTTGCGGTGGAGGGTCGAATAGACCCATTTACTTTGGCCACAGCTAACCTATCCATCCCACGCATCGTTTGTGATGGGTTAGTCTCCACCAGGGTCCTCAAATCCTCGTCCCGTATTACTGTAGGTTGACCACGACATCATACAGTAATAGAGTGAAAAGACGCAGATGTGTAGAGTACAAAATGATCTATCGATGAGTATATACTACGAGGCCAAAGCCTCGGTAGATAATAATATCATCCTGAGGTGGATTAAAGGAAACGTAATCGCATTGCCGACTCTTTAGCCAAGGAGGCGGCTGGACTAAGAATGTTAAGACCTAGTCGCACCTACAGCCAGATGACTTTGACAATTGCGGAACTAGCCCAACGTTACTCACATGCGACCCTGGGAAGCTAGTGCCGAAGAAATATCTGGCGATGATTAGGATAAATTTACGCCTAACAGTAGGATTTCTGACTGGCCACTGTCAACTAAGGAAACACATCCATAATATGGGGCTAGTGAACACAGTATGTGTGAACAGAAAGATGAAACTTTCAGGCGTGTCCTTGTGAGTGTCCGGAATTTCCGTCAATAAGAGAGTGTGTGTTCGGCAAGTCTTGGCCTACACCTGCCGATATGAAGGAGATGTCTCCTAGTGATCTGTCCACCTTCCTGGAAAGGACAGGATAGCCTACACTCACCCTACCTACTCTGAAGATACAGACAAAACAGACAAATGTATTTGCCTGTACCAGCGTAATTAGGTTTCCCATTATTTTATGCCATCATATTTGATTGTGTTACTGTAACAAACTCCCGGTTGAGCTTCGGGATAACTCTGTAAAGACAAAATCTCTCAAGCTAGACTCAATGTGAAAAACATTTTTATTCATTTATTTTTATTTTTCAGACAATTGCTTACAAAGCTAGACATCTTGGACTTTTTGCCAAAATGCCGATCTCCATAGCCCTATCAACAACATCGTCTATTTACGTAAAAAAGACCGCTGGGGAACTTTTGTTCGAGGGTTATCGTGACCCAATCCTGAGTACCCTCTACAGATTACCTTTTGTACAAGTTCAGGATAAGTTTGGATATTTTTACGGTGTGAGTATCTTAGAAAATGTCCTCGACGTACTTGCATGTTTCTTTGAAATCGTTCCGTACATTATTCAAGCAATCAGCAATCGGCATTCCCGAACAATTCTCTGTTGCAGATCTTCTAGACTTGTAGGCTTAGTAGAGTACAGTTTCAACTTCAGGTGTCCTCACAGAAAGAAGTCCATCGATGTGCGATCAGGTGATCTAGATGGCCACTCCACTGCCGATCCAACGCATTGGAAACCGTTCGTCCAAAAACTGTCTCACCCGAACATCAAAATGTGGGGGTGCACCATCCTGCTAAAGTGTCATTTTATTTTCTACAAAATTGTCATTATTTTCTAAAATCTATGTAATTATAGGATCTACACAGTCTTGTAATAGATTTGAGTGAGTGTCTCCATTTAGATTACCTTCAATGAAAAATGGTCCAACAATATGATTAGCAATAATGCCGGCCCAGACCTTCATATTTTGTAAAGTTTATGAATGTGTTTCCATCACCAAATGAGGATTCACATTGATCCAGTAACGCCAAATATGTCTATTCACTTCACCATTCAACATGAAAGAACTTTCGTCTGAAAAACATGTATTGTGTAATAGGTTTGGGTTATTGGTCAATTTCTCGCTGAACATCTCACGTAACTGAAGTGGACGATCAGGATCATCTTTGTTCAATCACTGAACTAGCCTTATTTTGAAAGGATGGAATTTGTAGGCTTTCAAAATCCGAAAAACACTAGTAGCTGATACACCGGACGCCCTAGCTATTTGTTTAATAGAGTGTCGATTTTCCATTTGTACATGTTCTAAAACTGCAATTTCAACTCCGTCATTTCTGACAGGATGGGATATTTCATGTTTTCTGTTGTGAACAGAACCTGGAGTTTGAAACTTATCCATTAGCTGTGTCACTGTTTTTAGAGTTTGAAAGCCGTGGATTTTTAGAATTTCTTCCTGACGTTTCGCTGGCGCGACTGGCTAGATTCTTCAGTGGTTCAACCATCATGGCTTGCTGTCCGATGACCAACTTTTTAGTTTTCGTAAAGTGTATTTATGCCTTATCAGGTAATCAGGTGTCAAAAAATTCTAAAAATCCACGGCTTTCAAACTCGAAAAACAGTGACACTGAAAACCTCAGCCGCGAAGGTCTAAACCATTTTGTTATCCATTAACTGTTTAACGTATTGATGGTTCACGCTTTAGCACATTCATTATTTCGATGATACGTTACAACAATTTCTATTCTTTCTTCAGCAGAATAAACCATGTTGGAACACAAGAATGACTGAATAATAATTCGTCAAGATGTGACAGTGGCCAACTATCTACTTTTTATTCTGCGACAACTAGATTCAACAAAAACTAACAGTGTCATTCTTTTCAAATCGTTTACTACTAGTAAAATACATTTTTCAAATCCTAAAGACCTGCGACAGAAAATTATTCGGGAATGCTGATTTCTGACTCCGGACATCTTCAATAATGCAAGGAACGCTTCCGTTGATTTTTTTTTCGACTGATATTATTTGTTGTTGATTTCCTCATTAAAATTAACGACAGCGAATTTTCTGTTTTTTCTTAAATAAAACGTTCAACATTTAATTTCTCAATAACGAATGAACTACTTTCGAAAAAATTCACAGAGATAATAGAGGGATAAAAGACCTTTCAAATAATGTATTACTCGACCCCCATGCCTTCGAAAAAAATAGGGGGGTAGTTGCTGATCGTAGGTGGATAAAGTTTCGGGTATGATCATGATCATATCAGAATTAATTCACCTAAAAATGAAAATTGACGTGAAGGGTCAAGTGTTTGTTGAAACGCCCTATATATTTGTATTCCAAATGTCATTCATCCATAGTACGTTGCATAAGAAGTAGCAATTAAGATCTGAGGTTCCGTCAAGATAGGTCGTGACAATGACCAGAAAATTATTCAGTAGTTTAGGAATATTTGAAATTGGAGATGCTCACTAGAAAAAACAATAATATTCAGCCTGTCTTCCAACCAACTTGGACTGATCAACTCATATATTTATTTTCATTTCTAGAAAAACGGGACCATTGGAGAAGATGGTGTTTACTCCATGTCCTACAGGAATGATGAAAATTTTGGAAAAATCGTGAGTTGGAAGTACCGGAATCGAACCGACTTTTTCCAGGGCGAGTGCAACGACATCAGAGGATCTGCAGGCGAATTTTTCCCTTTCGATCGTCAAAGGGATAGGCTGGAGTTATACAATTCCCAGCTTTGCAAGTATGCCATCCTAGAATATGTTGAAGATGTTAGTGTTGATGGGATTCATGCGTATAAATACACCGGCGATAACATGTTTGATAATGGTAAGTCATCTGTCGAATTCTACATGAAACATCCCTTTAAAACTATGAGTTCACTATTGAAAAGGATTCACCAACAGATCATCCGATTATCAAAGTCTCTCATAGAAGATTCCTCGGAGTGAATTTATTTTTCGAATGCTGTTTCCCTTCTTCGAACCTGTATTAGAAAAAAAATTGTACTTTGGGACGTGTTCGCATCACTTTCAACTTATTGGTAGAAAACCAATTTTTGGCATCATCATCAATCTCGCCAGACCTGACTGATTCAGTCAGATGTTTCTGAACTCATCAAAGTGGTACCTTCTGAAAATGAAGTACTTTGTCTGGGGACAAAACCCTGTGGGACCCCGCGGTGAGACATCGCTTTGTGCCTTCCAAATACGAACTAATCCAGAGTTATTCCTCTGATACTAAGTTCACCGTCCCAACTTATAATAATGACAATCTCCAACATAAGCTAACATAACTTTTGTCTATGTACAGGTACCACTCGTCCGGAGAACGCCTGTTACTGCGTGGGCGAATGTATTCCCTCGGGAGCATTCAACGTATCCAGTTGCCGAGATGGTTCACCCACTTTCCTTTCACTACCACATTTCTATAATGCTGATCCCTCGTATACCCAGAATATGAAGGGGATGAAGCCAGAAAAGAGTAAACATTCATTCTTTTTCGAAGTCGAACCGGTAAGTATATACAGTTTGTGTCTGCATTGAGAAATTGAAGGAGCATGAACTATTCCACACTTTAGAATATGTGATTCAGTATTCCAAAAGAAAACGCGTATTTCTTATCGATCATACGTTCGTGATATGGAAGCATAGTGAAGATCAATGTCATACATAGGAAAAGAAGAATGTCACATCAAGGAATTCATATCATTTCATCGAGAAGACAACTACTTTGGTCCTGCAGCTTGATGATTTCCTGCTTAGTTCCGATGTAGTTTCTCTCTTCACCATGTTCAAGAATGCGTTGAAGCAGATCCAACAAACTTTCTCAGAGAACGTCATAACTCTTTTCGACCGTGTTTTCACTGCTACATATTTCCAATGTGATAACTGTTTCTATGAACAAACGGATGGAGCCGCTATGGAACGTCATTTCAACCCAGTGGTTGCAAATTCTACATGGTGGTTTCCGAGAAGACATCAATTCTAGTATGCAGTTTACAGTGGAGAAGGAAAATGAAGGAAAGATACCATTCTTGGATATACTGGTCAACAGAAGAACTAACAGAAAACTAGGTCACACAATTTATCGCAGACCTGGTCATGCAGATTGGTATCTCAACAATTATTCAAATCATCATACAAGGCAAAAACCTGGTATGATGAAAAAACATGTTGATTTTGTCAACAGGATTTGTGAACCACATCATCTTGAAGGAGAACTTCCTCATCTAGGCCAAGCTCCACAGGCCAATAATTTGACAGCGTTAGAAATCAAACATGCTCTACATTCTAGAGGAAAAAATACTACCAACTTCGATACATGATACAGCCGCCAGTGGTTATCACAGTCTTCTTGCCTCACGTATAGTCCGCATAGGAAAACTGTTTGAATGTCACAACATTGAGACTATTCACAAGCCAATTAATGAATTACGCAATAATATCAGATCCAGCAAAGATGAAAGAGAATCTCTGACTTCCGCTGGTGTATACAGGATTCCCTGTTCCTGTGACTCAGTTCACATCGGAACTATCCACCGCAGCATCAACACCAGAATACAACAATGCAATTGCAGCTGCTACTTTATGCAATCGGAAAAATCCGCAATTGAAGAACGTGTCCCAATAAAAACAAGTCACGTAATATTTCAATGTATCACCATGTCAGACTCCATAGACATGCCACTGAGATTTATGAGCATCCCAACAATCTTAAAAAGAAAGAAGAAGGTATAGGGAACAAGAGAATATGTTATCCAGTACTCAAGAAGACCTGAAATGGACTCCAATCGACTTTCCACCAGTACTATACCTGTCAACAGTTGTTACAACTTCTTGAGATTTTTGGGATGCTCATAAATCTCAGTAGCATGTCTATGGAGTCTGACATGGTAATGCATTGAAATATTACGTGATTTGTTTCTATTAGGACATGTTCTTCAATTGCGGATTTCTCCGATTGAATGAAGTAGCAGCTACAATTGCATTGTTGTATTCTGATATTGATGCTGCGGTCGGCACTTTCGCTGGATCGTTCCGATTGGTTTGTACTTTCAGCACTTTCGCTGGGTCGTTACGATTGGTTTGTACTACAGTTCAAACCAATCGGAACGACCCAGCGATTGGTTTGTACTGTAGTACAATTGGTTTGTACTGTAGTACAAACCAATCGTAACGACCCAGCGAAAGTACTGACCAATCAAGATCGTGCATTTGTATGGACATCTCGCTATCTTCCTCATCACCATTCCTACCATCAGTCTCACCAGCAGTGAAGGGGATACGTAGCTCACCAGTCAGTTGTTGCTGAGACTCAGAGATATAACATCTGTCCTAGCAGTCAATGCACATATCATTAGATCTGTCGCAGTAGCAGACGAAAAGTTCAGTAATTCAGGTTCCATTCCACCACGACCTACCATCCTGGATTTTTTCTCTTCAATCGCCACAAATACATTTGTTCTCATAGTTAATATTAGTTGAATCGGAGATAACAGGAAACTGACAAATATAATACTCCATTTACCAGTCACGGCAGAGAATCTCACGGGGAAACTGAAATATTCGGTTCTTTCAAAAGTTTTTCCGTTTTTATGAGTCTACTCTCAGTGAATACTTCATTTCATTTATTCTAATAGAGCATATGCTTGGGAGGTGAATGAGATGAATTCAATAATTCAGTTTTGTATATATTCGCATGTCAACTGGAAATTATGAAATATTATTTTCTTTCGACTGTTTGAAATCGCATCAACATCAAAAGTATTTCCAAAAAAACCATTATGACCTCCTCTTTTCCACTATTTCTGCCTTCCAATATAAATATATCAAAACCAGTCGTAGTAATGACTGTCAGAATTACTATAATGAGAAACCAAATGTTTTAGTTAGGATATTTGTTGGATCATCCTTCAGTTTTTTGTAATCCTTTTTTGGTATAATATGTTTTTAGAACCAGCTGGTAGCATTTTCATATTGGTAATTGAACAAAAAAAAAGTTAATGCATTGGAATGGAACAAGACAAAAATTATCTTTAACGAATCACAAGCTGAGTGACGCCAACTTGAAGAATCAGCATATATTATATTACTATATCTGGAACTGAGTATATTGCAAATAGCCCTTCAGGAATGGATCGTCCTTGGTTAGTTATTTAAAAAAAGATATGGGAAGTGACAAAATCACTACAGAATAATATCAGAGCATAAACTCTTTGAACTGCATTGAATGTTTCAAAAAGTCAATGGACAACAAATATTAATTGACATCTGAAAAGAAGGTTTCACAATGAAACGGTTTCTTTACAAAAATTAATTTTGTTTGACAACAATCTACTGATCTGAAAAATCACTTATAATTTTTTTCTATGGAATCACGACGAGTTATGATTCTTGTGTTTTATTTTTTCAGAAAACCGGACTCATTCTCAATGTCCAAGCAGGAATGCAAGTGAATATGTTACTTCAGCCGATACCAAAAATAAGGTTGGTATTCTGTGGTATTTCTATCTATATAATTCTGTCTGGAGGAAAACGTATGTCCGAAATAACCACTTTCAAACATATGAACAGTAAATTAGTATGAACTATTCAGTATGAACTCCAAATATTGAATGTTGAATTGGAATTTTCCCCTTTCAATTCGAAATATTTCATTCTATTTGAAAAACACAACAAATGATGACCATTTTGATTTTCACTATGCGATAATAATGCACGAAATCCTTCCAAACAACTTTTTTTTTCTTACACAGCTGAGCTTTCTCTCCGATCTACTGATTATTTGTAACTCCAAAATATGATTTTTTTTAGAATATTTTGAACGGGCCTTTCAATAGAAAATACTGTAGTTCTTCAGAATTCCGAAACCAGAATCTTGATAGAAAAGAAAATACAAACAATTATGTATGTTAGGTCATAAATTGAGAAAAAAAAGAGAAATTCCTATAATCACAATAGGTTCCTTTTTCTCGTTTATTGAAAATTTGTTATTTTTCTGTTCACAATTCGACATTTGTTGTTTTTATTCAATTCAAGTAACTGTATTTTCAAATGAAATTCTTTCAACAAATCATTTTTTTCATATACAGGGTGGAAAAATCAAAATAAAATAATGCCGATATCTCATAGTTCACAGTTCACAAAGAAATTTTGGAACAACTATGGTATCTCAAATATACCAAATAATATTTCAGCACATAATGGCGATTTGCTCGAAAACAGTATCCTTGAATTACTTTTTGAAATGTCTTTTTTCAAAAAATATGTTGATGACACTGCCGGATTGATTGAGTTTACACTTATCTCCAACTGTCAGATAAAATTATCCAAGGTTTTTCAAGAAATAGACGAATGTGAAGTGTTGCAAAACGTGAAATATGTCCTGCCATAAACGTATCACTAATAATAACTTCAGACTAGGGGGAATATTTGAGAACTGAACACATAATATGTGCAATTCCTACGAAAATTAATCATAATGAAAAATCTCCAATTTACAATTGGAAAAGTAGTGGATACGTGTGTGACTTTCCTAAATACCGAAGACATCAGAATACTTGGGCCCAATTCTTCAACGTATATTTTATATAGTAAGCTTATACAATTTAGGTCAAAAACTTATGCTAATATATTTTGAAGGTTTTTCAGAATGATATGATATTTTGATTCTTTTTAACATAACTTTTTAACAAAGTATAATACATTCTTACCCTTGTGAAAAGAGAAAATAAATAATCCAAAGGAAAATTATCACATTAGAAAATAAATAATCCAAAGGAAAATTATCACAGTCAGTGGCACATAAATTGTTGAAATGATTAAGAAATTCTGTCTCTAGATGAATGATACATTGTTAAAATGAATCTGGAGGCATATATAAACTTCAAAACTGTTTGGCTACTGTATTACTATTTGCCTTGAAATGACTATATACCTACATTTGTTTCATTCAGTGTCGTACTAGTCGCCGTGGCAAAATTTGTACATACTTCTCATGAATGTTTTCTTAAACATTTTCTCAAAAGATATCCAAAAACATAGCCCAAGCTGTTGCCTTCTGGAGTGGCTAGCTTTCTATAATCATTTGTCTCTACTCTCAAAGGTTTATAGGAATTTTTTGGAACTTCCACAAGAATCTTCATTCTATTTATGTCTGCATCTGTAATACTAGATAGAATCTCACTATTATCTTTTAGACAGTTAGTTCCTTTTGCCTGTGTGAAATACTGAAGAGTAAATGTGTTTTTGAAAGCTCTGGTAATTTGAATAGGAGTTAGGTTTCTGGCATTTCCACAAGTATTTCTAAGTTGACCAAAATAATTTTCCACGCAGTCCTGATTTATATTCCTCGTCAATATGTAGGAGTGTCCCAAAGTTGCAGAAATGCCGAAATTGTTATCTGCCACCCCTCAATGAATCTCATTTGTACAGTCTTGTTTTTTCCTTTATTGATATTACAGTTAATTTGCTGAAAAATTATAAAACAGCGATAAAAATAAAAGGTTGAGTCTTGTTTGTAGATCATCGGTGTTGTTATTAGATTGACTGGTGCCTCAGAAAATCAATTATTTTTGATGTTCTAAAAAAAGGTTAATTGAAATCTTTCAAACCGTCAAATGCATTCGAATTTAAAATATCAAACACTTTATACATTTTTTCAATGAATGTAACCGTTCCTATCGCTGCTGATGGTATCTGATTGAAACTGGCATAGATATTCATCGCTGTAGCTACCGAATGACTGAAACTTGACTGGCTAATTTAACCTTCATCCTTTGAAAGTTACTTGGAAATGAATGAGAATCAGTAAGTTTGGGTGGTAGTCTGCATTACTTTTCTTTATCCAAGTTGTAAAGTTATTCAAGATGACTTTTGTTCGTTGTACATAGTCACCGAAAAAATAGTTTCTGCTACATTTCAGCAGATGTAAAATATTTTTTTCTCATCAACAAAGAAATATGGCTGCCCTACAGTCACTTCGAGATCTTTTCTGGCAAGTTTATAAAAATTAAAACCTAAATCTAAAATGATACCCATAACTCTCAATCCAATTTTTGATAATTGCCTAACAGCTCCAATAACAATACTTTTTATATCCAGTATTGATATGGACGAATTGGTGAAAAAGTATGCAACAGGCTGTTTCCAGTTCGAATGTATGCCTTTTGCCATGATTACTAAGGCATTTGCAGAATTTCATTTTGTTTTGAAATGTTTTTCTGAAATATTTTTTTATATTATTGGGTTGGTTGTTGTAAATCAAAACTGCAATATGAAATACAGATTTCTTAGTTTTGAGTTGTCTAGTTTGCTAATTATGAAGTGTGTCAATCGAATGAAGTTCTAATGTTTTTTGTTATTGACAGAATCTAAGAAAAGACATATTTGCTATTTATAGTAGATTATCTGTAACATATAAATGGAAAGTAGGCTCCAAAAAGGGTTATTAGAATATACATTTGATACTTTGGTTTTGCAAAGATTTCAGTGGAAGTAATTGTTTTCCTACAGATACAAATCAAAACTCGATGTGGTTCAACAATTATTTTCCTTTGTGGATTTCCAGTGGAACAGGAGGCATATACTATTAGTAAATTTCAATTTCATCAAATTAAATTCATAATAAAAAGTCTGCATATTAATGAATTCACTAAATATGGTCTTTAACAATTTATTTTATGATTTTCGTTATATGTTTATCACTTCAATCTTAAATAATAAATAATAGAGAAACATACCTTTTTTCATCAATTGGAAATCGAAAAAAATGAATGCCGACATCACCCTGTAAATTACAGCAACCCACAGCTTGACACTTGCTCATTTTGAAACTAGACACAAATTTTTCATAAATACAAAACCAACACTTTCAACGACTCACTCTGGAATAATATTCCATGCCTCAATTTGGCTTGCTTGGTAAACGCCTCAGATTCAGTCGGTTGCGCTGTAGTTCGGCCGCGCATGAAATTCGAGGTGGGGAATCTTGACCCAAATATGGCGGACAGTGAACTTACTGGTGTTTACTTCTATACTGTGGATGAAGTCTGTTCCACCATCGCTTTGGAGTAGCCATTTCGTTGAAGATCATGTTTGATGTTGTCTAGTTCCTTTTCGAGACCTTCCTTTGTATTGAGAGCCCGAAAGCACGGTCTAATATAGTCTCGATGATTACTCTTTCAGTCGATTTGGAACTGCATCCTAACGTGTCGCCATCACGAGTAGCTGGCTTTTGCAGAGGTTTATTTATCTTGATGATTTCTGGTGACTGGTGATTTCTATTTCGTAGGTTGTATCCACTACCTGAGTCATCATAAATACAACCACGAACTAGAAATCACCAGTCATCAGTGAATCATCAATATAAAAAACCTCTGAAGAAGCCAGCCACCCGTGCTGGCGAAACGTTTGAATGCAGTTCGAAACTACGACGGTCTTCAAACTCGAATAAAAATAGTGATATTGGGAATCCAGAGAAGAGTTATCACAAACAAAGTTTTTCAGAAATGGTTGAGGTACATAAAAAATGAAACCAATTCCATGAATAGAAAACAGATATACAAATTTTTAACTTTTCCACTCATTTTTTGAATATATTTGGTGAAAATCAATAACAGGATTCATGATGATAATTATAAATTTTCACAACATGGACTGCATTTCAAAACGCTTTTTACTGCATAAAAGTTTCATCTATTTGACTGGTACCTTACATCATTTTTCAATGCTATTTATATAAATTATCGAGCTCAAAGCAGGTGAATCATTGTAACAAATTCTAGGAAACTTTACATGAAAATAAATTTAACGGTGGTCAGAGATTAACTTGTTGTTGGTCGTTCCATAGGAAATTGTTCCGTTCATTAATCTCCGGGGATTTCAGCAGGTTTAGTTTTCCTTTTTCATTTTCTGTATGTCGTAGTTTATGTTGAAATCTTGGTTGTTTCCCAACAGATGCTGGCATGTGTAGGTTGAATTTCGGTTTTGATATTTTTAGATGTTTTTTCGATATAGACGCCCGATTTGTCGGTCTTGTCGTTGTTGGATTTGCAGTTTTTCATATTTCTATTCGGGGTGTTATCGGTAGTATTCTATGTTGATGTTCTGTTATCCATCCTTTCTGATGCATTTCCTGTATATGTCAGTGTTTTGACAGTGTTTGTATCATCTTTGATGTTTGTATGAACGGTATACTCGTTTAACGACTTGTTTTTCATCGAAAAAGCAATGAATCATGTCCGGATTGAAGTTGTTATTCACTGGCAACTGTTTTATCAAATTTAGTTATTTATTAAAATTATCTGTTGACTCAGGGATACTAATGAGTCTGTGAATATTGCTGTGGTGAGCTGCTAGTTCATTTTTCAATCCCTCAACACTGCCGATTTCATTTTCATGATCAGTTTCCTAGAATTTGTAACAATACTGTTTCTGCTTTGTACCTGCTAGATACCTGTTTTTAAATTCACCTGGTCACCAATTAG